ATTTTTTTCTGACCAAGAATAGATTTGTTTAAACTTCCTGAAGTTCCATAACATCACGTTTGAATCAATTATCCACCTATCTTTGTGTCATGGGCAAATTTGCTCATATCAAGTAATTCCCTATCAAGACATTGATATATATTAAAACAAAACGGCCCAAAAGACGACCCCTGTGAACCCCTTGTTACAGATCCCAACTCGGTTTTAAACCCCATTTATGGACACTCTCTGCTTCCTGTCAGTGACCATGACTCGATCCACAGAGCACTTTTCCCCCAAGCCAGAGCTCCCACTTTCTTAACAGTCTAGGTTCGGAACTCTATCATTTATATCATTTTTTTATTGTTTTCGGTATGTAAAACTATAGTTATTCTTTAAAAAATGTGTTTTTGTTAATTTTTTTTGTGTGTCTGGAACAGATTAATTTATTTACACTATTTTTAAGGGAAAATATTAATTGGGTTTTTCAAACGTTTCAGATTTAACCGCCCTTTCTGGAACGGATTAAGTAGAAAACTGAGTTCCACTGTATAACGATTCCCTTTCCCCTCTTACAGTACTACTCTAAATAACCCAAAATCAAAAAGTACATTCTTGAGTATGAACGGACAAGATATACAAAAAATATTTCACAAAAAATTAGATTAAGTCACTTTGCCCAACTTTTCTTTGGGTTTCCCCAAATAATTTACTTAAAAATGAAATTGTGCTTATTTGTACCCTACCTACAAAACTTTCTTTTGTAGATTCCCTCTCAGACAGGTCCCCAAAAGCATAACAAAGTTGATGACTCGATAAACCAGCATTTAAATAAAAGGAAAATGTTGAATATAAATTCGCTGTTTGGAGTGACTCTAAATTCGTATCTGGGGGGCCTCTGCAAAGACAGTGATTATGTGTGAATGGGGTGAAAATGTTGAAAATGGGAAAATGTTTTTTCTTCTTTTGTGGAAGTGCCAAGTGTTAGAAAAAATTTGAAAACCCTGGGGCCCAAAAAAAATTATTGATTAACATGTCTGGAGAATTAACAAGGAAGCAACGTAAACACTGATCTGCTTTGGGTTTTAAAAACTGTGGCGTAAAAGGTTTCAATGGAGATGCCAATACATTTTATGCAAAACATGTGGACAAGAAAGGCCATACATAAAATATTACTAATCATATCCCAAACCAAAACCTTTCAGAAACAATTCAAGCAAACATTACAGAGTAAGGGAAAACCTTTCATTGTTAATATAAGATATCTAAAATATGATGTGGTCCACATTTTGCAAGATAGAAATGAACTGTTTTTTTGATGAAGCTGCAACCCAATAATCACCATGTTTGTTTAGTGGAAATAAGATATTTAAATTTATTAGATTAATTTTCTATACAGTATTATGCACATAAGCTACATGAAGCAATTGTAATATATATACATATAACAATTAATATTTTTCATGAAGTAACTAAACCCAACAGGGTCTGATAAAGACCCATTGGAACCTCTGTAATCCTGTTTCTTGCATTAAAGCTCACAGTATGAGTATTATTTTTATTAACACAATGGCCGATTCCCACCAAGGCAGGGTGGCCCGAAAAAGAAAAACTTTCACCATCATTCACTCCATCACTGTCTTGCCAGAAGGGTGCTTTACACTACAGTTTTTAAACTGCAACATTAACACCCCTCCTTCAGAGTGCAGGCACTGTACTTCCCATCTCCAGGACTCAAGTCCGGCCTGCCGGCTTCCATGAATCCCTTCATAAATGTTACTTTGCTCACACTCCAACAGCACGTCAAGTATTAAAAACCATTTGTCTCCATTCACTCCTATCAAACACGTTTCACACATGCCTACTGGAAGTCCCAAGCCCCTCGCACACAAAACCTTTACCCCCTCCCTCCACCTTTCCAAGGCCGACCCCTACCCCGCCTTCCTTCCACTGCAGACTGATACACTCCTGAAGTCATTCTGTTTCGCTCCATTCTCTATACATGTCTGAACCACCTCAACAACCCTTCCTCAGCCCTCTGGGCAACAGTTTTGGTAATCCCGCACCTCCTTCTAACTTCCAAACTACGAATTCTCTGCATTATATTCACACCACACATTGCCCTCAGACATGACATCTCCACTGCCTCCAGCCTTCTCCTCGCTGCAACATTCATCACCCATGCTTCACACCCATATAAGAGCGTTGGTAAAATTATACTCTCATACATTCCCCTCTTTGCCTCCAAGGACAAAGTTATTTGTCTCCACAAACTCCTAAGTGCACCGCTCACCCTTTTCCCCTCATCAATTCTATGATTTGCCTCATCTTTCATAGACCCATCCGCTGACACATCCACTCCCAAATATCTGAATACATTCACCTCCTCCATACTCTCTCCCTCCAATCTGATATCCAATCTTTCATCACCTAATCTTTTTGCTATCCTCATAACCTTACTCTTTCCTGTATTCACTTTTAATTTTCTTCTTTTACATACCCTACCAAATTCATCCACCAACCTCTGCAACTTCTCTTCGGAATCTCCCAAGAGCACAGTGTCATCAGCAAAGAGCAACTGTGACAACTCCCACTTTATGTGTGATTCTTTATCTTTTAACTCCCCACCTCTTGCCAAGACCCTTGCATTTACTTCTCTTACAACCCCATCTATAAATATATTGAACAACCACAGTGACATCACACATCCTTGTCTAAGGCCTACTTTTACTGGGAAATAATCTCCCTCTTTCCTACATACTCTAACTTGAGCCTCACTATCCTCGAAAAACTCTTCACTGCTCTCAGTAACCTACCTACCTCCTATACCAGTATAAAGTAATGGGTGAAAAAATAAAGTAGCTACTTAGGCAGCACAACTAACTTTCAATCTTCTACCAAGTCAAACTACTTTTTTTGTAACAAGAGAAACGAAGTTAAATTAATGGAATTACTGTAAATGCTGTTGATTCCAAATGTGTATAGCTTAACAGGTATTTAATAATTATTACTTAAATAATGCATTTCCAAAGAAATGCTTGTTGTCTTGTGACCTAAAAATGACCAAGGTTTATACTGTAACTTTATCTATGTATCAACCAAGCTAAAGCCTGACACAGATGGGCTTGATAAATATGATAACCTTGAATATCTAACTTACACAAATTGGAGATGGTAGAATGTTAGACCTCAAAAATATTGGTTGCTTTATCCAGGTACTGGGTTACTGTAGTAAATCCTACACAACAAATAAAAAAAAAGGCACAATACCGTGACTGGAACGATACACAAATAACCTGCACATAGAACAGAGGAGCTTAAGACGATGTTTTGGTCTGACTTGGACCATTTACAAAGTCACACTAACTGTTAGTATGACTTTGTAAATGGTCCAAGTTGGACCGAAACACCGTCGTAAGCATCTCTCTTCTATGTGTGGGTTATTTGCGTATGAATTCTACATAACGCACTTAAGCTATATATTCTGCATATGCCAGTGTACAAATCGACCCATCTTCAAAGTTAACCTCTGGAGAATAAAAAGACACAATACCATGACTGGAACAATACACAAATAATCCATACACAGGAGAAAGAAACCTATGGTGACATTTTTGATCTGACTTGGATCATAAACTAGTCATACATAAGTTTCTTTCTCCTATGTGCAGGTTATCTGTATATAAGTCAACCTCTAAAATTTTGAGGTGTTATTTCAGGTTAATGCTTATATTCACCTAATAGGTCAACCTCCCCTCCCCTAAAAGGCAGCACCACTTCCATTAGATAGTGAGGGGTCTGAGTGGACTAATGTGGACAGCTAGGGGTCAGAATGGACTAATGTGGACAGTTAGGGGTCAGAGTGGACTAATGTGGGCAGTTAGGGGTCAGAATGGACTAATGTGGACAGTTAGGGGTCAGAGTGGACTAATGTGGGCAGTTAGGGGTCAGAATGGACTAATGTGGACAGTTAGGGGTCAGAATGGACTAAGGGTGGACAGTTAGGGGTCAGAATGGACTAATGTGGACATTTTAGGGGTCAGAAGGGACTAATGTGGACAGTTAGAGGAAATATTAGGAAATAATGCATCTTATTTTTCTCCACTCAATGTTTCTATTAACTCAAGATCACTGAATCATTTTAAAGTATTAATACATATTTCAATTTATACTTTTTTTTGCTACTACTCTTTTCTGCAATAATGCAAACTTAAAATTGTACCACTCAGTACCTATGTCTAGACTTACTACCTGAAATACATACCATGTTAGTGGCTTTATTTATTATATGTAAAATATATTTTATATCAGCACAAAGAAATAAAATTTGGTTGTTTCATTTCTTTAAAATAGCAAATAAAACTTGTAACTGTGGTATGAGCAAATAGCATCAGCAAGCTAGTGGTGGCCTTCAGTAATGTGCTGTCGCCTTATTTTCACCTCTGCCATGTACAACCAACTGTTTATGCTTGGCTTTAAAAGTTGACTTATTATATTGCCCATATCTGGTACATACACAAGTACAATTATCATACATAGTGTAAGTTACCAAGGATAACCTAAAAAAGTCAAACAAGTTGACTTAATTCCACTAGGGTCCAATATTACTGCAAAATTTAAACTTCAAAACTTTAAAACCATATGTAGCTTTTTTAAATAAAACTTACAACTAGACATTGGGAAAACTAAAAGCAGAGATACAAATAAAGGGCTATAATATCTAATCAAGACAGAACATGTCAATATGGATTAAAGTTGGATAAATTTTACATTTAGAGGATACAGGAAAGCAATTGTTGGACAATAAAAGTTGCGGATGAGTCAAAGAAACTGCAAAGTAGTGTCAGTGAGGCGAGTCCTACGAGCAGCTTTAAATCTTCAGATAAATACATGACTGAGAAAAAATTTCATGTGAATAAAACCTCATTAGCATAAGCCAGTAAGCTTACTGCAGTCAAGATAAAAACTTGATACAGATTATTAACTTAATATACCCAAGAAAGCTAATTCTTCTGGCTTACTTCTGCTAGGATTATATGAGGTTTTTCCCCAGGATATCACCAAAAACAGTCTGCTAACACAAGTGTACCTACTTACTGCTTAATTAAGAGACACATCAGGGTGGCCTGTGGCTTGGTTGGCAACACTCACTTCACACACTGTCTGTGGATCAATCCCAAACACGGGCAGAAACGTTGGGCACGTTCCCTTACATCTGCTGTCCTTTTCCCCCTAGCAGTAAGTAGGTACCTGGGTGTTAGTCAACTGGTGTGGGTTGCATCCTGGGGGACAAGATTGAAGGACCACAATGAAAATAAGACAGACAATCCCTCGGTGATTCACCAACTGTCTTGGGTTATCCTGGGTGGCTTACCCTCCCTACCCCAGGTTAAAAATCCTAACAGGGATTTTTAACTTACAGGGAACCTCATGCATATAAAGGGCCCTAAAACTTTAAACTCACTTCCTGATGATGCAAAAAAAAAAAAAAAAACAATCTGCCACCTGCTTCAAAAACACAGTTCGACAGCAGCTCCGCCGCGAGACGTCACACTCGATGAACTTCACTGTGGGGGCAAAACGTTGTCAATAAATAATCCCAATATAACACATTTCTTTATCTACTGCATTATAATAATGGAGGGAGTGCTAAACCTGTAGGGATAAAGCAACAGGGTCACAAATTGCATATGTACTCACCTTTTTGTGGTTGCAAGGGTCAAGTCCTAGCTCCTGGCCCAGCCTCTTTGCTGATAGCTATATATGACAATTGTACTTATGTGTACCTGTAACTTAATAAACTGACTTAATACAAACGTTACTTCTTTATGCAGTAGAAATAATGTAATTTACATATAATAAAACGCTGACAGGCTCAAAAATAACCACTAATATGCAATAAGATTCAGGCAAACTAATTCTAATGCTTAAATGTTACTTTAGATTTAGACATAAACTAATAAGTAAGACTTCTTATACGTAATTAACTACAATAATATGAACAATAAGAAAAGTGGATAATGAACAAATGGTACAATTTCAGAAGTATTGACTTTATTACGAACAGAGTCAATGATCATCAGAATTTGTTCAGTATTGAAGTATGAACATAATTTACAAATTTCTGTGGTTATTACGAGCTTAAAAGGATAAAACTCCACTGATGATACACCGCCACCTACCTTATATTATCAATCTTTCCGCACAAATCATCAAAAATCTTCAAACTGCGACGATAATTGAAAAATTTCAACTGTGATCTTGTTGTTATTGTTGTTGTTATTGTTGTTGTTGTTGTTGTTGTTTTTTGTTGTAAGGTTTGAGGGTCAGTGAAGCTCAGTCATCACTGCCTCAACACCCTCCTGCCAGCATACTTTTTCTATTTTCTTTTTCTGTCTATCTTTCTATAAGTACATGTACATGGTATGCAGGTCTAGCTAACATCAGTGACATATAACTATATAGAAAACCGCTTGTTATGCAGAGCATTTCTGTCAAATTAGGCAAATTTTGTCCCAGGATGCGACCCACACCAGTCCACTAACACCCAGGTACCTATATTACTAATGGATGAACATGGACAACCGGTGTAAGGAAACACATCCAATAGCTGGAGAGGGTTCCGGGGGTCAACGCCCCCGCGGCCTGGTCCGTGACCAGGCCTCATGGTGGATCAGAGCCTGATCAACCAGGCTGTTACTGCTGGCTGCACGCAAACCAACGTACGAGCCACAGCCCGGCTGGTCAGGTAATGACTTTAGGTGCTTGTCCAGTGCCAGCTTGAAGACTGCCAGGGGTCTGTTGGTAATCCCCCTTATGTATGCTGGGAGGCAGTTGAACAGTCTCGGGCCCCTGACACTTATTGTATGGTGTCTTAACGTGCTAGTGACACCCCTGCTTTTCATTGGGGGGATGTTGCATCGTCTGCCCAAATCTTTTGCTTTCGTAGTGAGTGATTTTCGTGTGCAAGTTCGGTACTAGTCCCTCTAGGATTTTCCAGGTGTATATAATCATGTATCTCTCCCGCCTGAGTTCCAGGGAACACAGGTTTAGGAACCTCAAGCGCTCCCAGTAATTGAGGTGTTTTAAACTCCGTTATGCGCGCTGTGAAGGTTCTCTGTACATTTTCTAGGTCAGCAATTTCACCTGCCTTGAAAGGTGCTGTTAGTGTGCAGCAATATTCCAGCCAAGATAGAACAAGTGACCTGAACAGTGTCATCATGGGCTTGGCCTCCCTAGTTTTTGAAGGTCTCATTATCCATCCTGTCATTTTTCTAGCAGATGCGATTGATATAATGTTTTGGTCCTTGAAGGTGAGATCCTCCGACATGATCACTCCCAAGTCTTTGACGTTGATGTTTCACTCTATTTTGTTGCCAGAATTTGTTTTGTACTCTGTTGACGATTTAATTTCCTCGTGTTTGCCATATCTGAGTAATTGAAATTTCTCATCGTTAAACTTCATATTGTTTTCCTGCAGCCCACTGAAAGATTTGGTTGATGTCCGCCTGGAGCCTTGCAGTGTCTGCAATGGAAGACACTGTCATGCAGATTGGGGTGTCATCTGCAAAGGAAAGACATGGTGCTGTGGCTGACATCCTTGTCTTTTGTCGGATATGAGGATGAGGAACAAGAGGGGAGAAAGTACTGTGCCTTGTGGAACAAAAGCTTTTTCACCGTAGCTGCCACGGACTTTACTCTGTTGACTACTACTCTCTGTGTTTTGTTAGTGAGGAAATTTATAGATCCATCGACCGACTTTTCCTGTTATTACTTTAGCACGCATTTTGTGCGCTATTACGCCATGGTCACACTTGCCCGAAGGCTTTTGCAAAGTCTGTATGTATTACATCTGCATTCTTTTTGTCTTCTAGTGCATCTAGGACCTTGTCGTAGTGATCCAATAGTTAAAGACAGACAGGAGCGACCTGTTCTAAACCCATGTTGCCCGGGGTTGTGTAACTGATGGGTTTCTAGATGGGTGGTGATCTTGCTTCTCAGGACCCTTCAAGAATTTTTATGATATGGGATGTTAGTGCTATCGGTCTGTAGTTCTTTGCGTTGCTTTACTGCCCCCTTTGTGGAGGGGGGCTATGTCTGTTGTTTTAGTAACTGTGGGAATGACCCCCGTGTCCATGCTCCCTCTCCACAGGATGGTAAAAGCTCGTGATATGGGCTTCTTGCAGTTCTTGATGAACAGGGAGCTCCATAGTCTGGCCCGGGGGCAGAGTGCATGTGCATGTCATTTATCGCCTGTTCGAAGTCATTTGGCGTCAGATAACATCGGATAGGCTTTGTGTTAACAAAATTCTGTGGCTCTCTCATAAAAAATTCATTTTGAACTTCGACTCTCATTCTGGTTAGCGGCTTGCTAAAAACTGAGTCATATTGGGACTTGAGTAGGTCACTCATTTCCCCTTTTTTAGTTTAATGTGTTTATTATGCACCCCATACCCATCCTGTGGGCGGTAGTCAAAAGATTAAAAGAGGTACATAATTGGTCCAGGGACTGGACTCCAAATTTTTGATAGCTGAGCAAGTTACAGAGGTAATGAACTCACAATTTTTCAAAGGTAATGAACTCACAATTTACAAAGGTAATGAACTCACAATTTACAAAGGTAATGAACCCCCAGGTAAGTCTGGTCACAATCATGACAAGTTACAAAGGTATTTACAGATTACAGAGGTACGTAATGGGTCCAGGACTGGGCCCCCAAAGTTTTGATAGCTGAAACTAGGTACAAAGGTAATGACTCACAAGTTACAAAGGTAATGAATTCTGTAGAATGGTTTTACTTACGTTTATATTTTTGGCTACAATCATGAACAAATTATAGAGTAATGACAATTCACACTTCCACACCCGGTCACAATTGTAATGATTTTTATTGGTGCAAATATTGATTGTTGAGTCACACACACCACACACACACACACACACACACACACAACACACACACACACACACACACACACACCAAAACACACACACACACACACACACACACACACACTTTATTTTAATATCTTTATGCACCCCATACCCATCCTGTGGGCGGTAGTCAAAAGATTAAAAAGGGTACATAATGGGTCCAGTGACTGGACCCCAAAGTTATGATAGCTGAACTAGTTACAAAGTAATGAACTCCAGGTAGATCTGGTAAACAATCATGGCAAGTTACAGAGGTAATGAATCCTTCACTCCTATACATGGTTTACAGTCATGAACAAATTACAAAGTAATGAACCACTGATACGTCCACACCTGGTCACAATTGTAATGATTTTATAAATACAAATATTAAGTGGATCATACACCCACACTTCCTTGTTAACCAAATTCTGTGGCTCTCTCATAAAAAAATTAATTTTGATCTTTACTCTCATCTGGTTAGCGGCTTGCTAAAAACTGAGTCATATTGGGACTTGAGTAGGTCCCTCATTCCTTGTTAACCAAATTCTGTGGCTCTCTCATAAAAAAATTCTTTTGATCTTTGACTCTCAGTCGGGTTAGCGGCTCGCTAAACACTGAGTCATATTGGGACTTGAGTAGCTCACTCATTTCCTTGCTGTCATCTGTGTGGGAAACCAATTTTGTTTAAGTGGGGGCCCAAATACGGGAAACGTTGTTCTCGACTTTGATTTGGCATAGGAAAAGAAATACTTTGGGTTTCTTTCGATTTCATTTATGGCTTTTAGTTCTTCCCGCGATTCCTGACTCCTATATGATTCCTTTAGCTTAAGTTCGATGTTTGCTATTTCCCCTGACCAGTGACTCCCTACGCATTTTCAGATATATTTGGGCCCCTTTTTAAACCCCTGTTATTCTTTTTCGTTGCCTGTAAAGGGAGCGCTTGTCTCTTTCTATTTTACATCTACTCCTCCCTTTTTCTTAAAGGGAAAAAGCCTTGAGCATACATCGAGTGCCAACGAGTTAATCTGTTCTAGGCATAAGTTGGGGCCTGTGTTGCTTTGTCTATCTTCCCACTTATATCGGTTAGGGCTTGGTTACTTGGTCCCACTTTATGTTCTTATTATTGAAGTTGAATTTTTGGTGAAGGCTCCCTCATGACTAATCTCATTATGTCGGTCTGGAGCTCCGCGCATACATGTCTGAACCTCGATTATGTTGTGATATGAGTATATTGTTTTTGATATGGTGACATTTCTTATCAGATCATCATTGTTAGTGAAGATGAGGTCTAGTGTATTCTCCAGTCTAGTAGGCTTTATTATTTGCCTAGTTTAAGTTGAATTTTGTGCAGAGATTTAAAAGCTCGTGTGTGAATGCTATGGTGTCAATGATGTTAGTAATAGTGATGACCGTAATATAAGTTGTGGTGAAGAGTGTGATGAGGGCAATGGTGTCTATAATGTTAGTAATAGTGATGAGCGTAATATAACCTCAAATCTACTAACTCTTGTGTTCTATATATTAAAAAATCGCTTCCCCATCAACTTCTTGCACATAAGAAAACAGAGGGGCTACAATATCACGGTGTTAGGATTTATATAGGGAACTCTGCTCTCAACATATTTAACTTGTATGCTCCTGCTGATAAATTTAATTACTTGGAGCTCCCAACTTGTGCTCATTCTGAGCCTACTCTTATTATTGGCGATTACAATGCGAGACACAAAAGCATTGGAAACTCACAGTTTGGTAATCGTAATGGTAATCAACTGTTGTCACTCTTAAACAGTCATGATAATGTCCAAATTGTAGGCGACCTTGAACCCACACATATCTATGGAGGCGTCCTTGATCTGTGCCTGGGCTTCAACATTACTGCGTGCTAAAGGAATAACAGGAAAAGTCGGTCGATGGATCTATAATTTCCTCACTAACAGAACACAGAGAGTAGTCGTCAACAGAGTGAAGTCCGAGGCAGCTACGGTGAAAAGCTCTGTTCCACAAGGCACAGTACTCGCTCCCATCTTGTTCCTCATCCTCATATCCGACATAGACAAGGATGTCAGCCACAGCACCGTGTCTTCCTTTGCAGATGACACCCGAATCTGCATGACAGTGTCCTCCATTGCAGACACTGCAAGGCTCCAGGCGGACATCAACCAAATCTTTCAGTGGGCTGCAGAAAACAATATGAAGTTCAACGATGAGAAATTTCAATTACTCAGATATGGTAAACACGAGGAAATTAAATCATCATCAGAGTACAAAACAAATTCTGGCCACAAAATAGGCGAAACACCAACCTCAAAGACCTGGGAGTGATCATGTCGGAGGATCTCACCTTCAAGGACCATAACATTGTATCAATCGCATCTGCTAGAAAA